TCAAAAATCTGGTAAGGATGACTTAATTCACTGGATTTCCGATGTCACGAATGGGGTTTGGATACTGGAGGGTTGTGAAATCAAAACCCACGAGAACACGTGATTAGGGTTTGAATGATTTTAAGATTTTTTTTCTTTTTTATGGACCCACCTCAAGAGTCGAGGGTTCAATTTATTCGAGGCCAAAACCCTTCTTAAGCCCCTCAACTTTTCCAACAATAAGCGATCAGCCCCTAAACTAAAAAAAAAGAAGCAATAAGCCCTCTAACCTCATGATTGAAGCAAATTAGCCCCTCACTAAGTTCCTAACGCCAATTGTTAATGGTTTGTATGGCATTGCACGCCTTTACACATTTTTATTTTTGCTTAGATTTGGCAAAATTAGATCCAATCTGAAAATTTGACTGAACCCATCTGTTATGGGTAGGGTCATAGGTCCTATATATTAATCCAAAATTTGAAATGATCCAGACTGTAATCATTCGAACCCAAATGGATTGGGTCATGAGTGGGTCAGGTCACCCGAAATGACTCGAACTTTTTTTTATATTTTTTATTAGATTATTTAAAAATTAATTTTTAAATTCTAATTTCTCAATCCTAAAAGTAGAAATAAATAAAATACCCAAACCTTAACTTCTTATCAATTTCACTTTCTCTCAACTTTTCCTCTTCTTCATCTCAAGCTCTCTAATCCTTCTCTTTGATGATACTCGCGTAAAAAATCAAATTAGGTGACACATAATAAGTTATATCATGTGATTTCGTAAAAAAGATCATTTTTTTAAAAAAAAATAAAAAGCAAGAATACTATTGAAACCAAAATCCAGTAGTTAAGATACCCTCATAACCATTAAAAATACAAAGACAAAAACATCAAGGTTCGTTCTTTGTTGTTAATTTGTTCTTAGTTAATAACTTGTTCATAATTAATAAAAACCAATTCCAATCTAATTTCTTCTTGTATTTGGTTAAACACATTTTGGATTTGCCTTTTAGACTTTAATATTAAATAGGGTTATATTTTTTGTATAATGCACTCTTAAATATTAAATAAAACTGTATTTTTTATATAATACCCTATAAATATTGAATAGGTACTAGATATTACTATATATATTGGATTTGTCTTTTGAATTCTAGCTCTTCATATCTCTTCTTTTAATGAAGGTTAATACTTTTATGAAATTATGAAATCTAAATATTGTATAGGCATTATATGTTTAACATATATTTTAATTCCACTTATATAACCAGTAATCTTGTCTTTTTCTTTTCTTGAGATTGGAAAAAAAAATTGAATCAAAAATGAAAATTAATGTTTAATAAAATTTTCTAACTAAATAGTTAATTAGTAATAAAGTTTTTTAATTAAATAATTAATTAGTATTAGATTTTGTTAAAGAAAAATGGAAAAAAATATTTAAAAAATTTTAATTTTTTAAAAGTTTGGTCCACCCGACCCAATTCGAGATCTATGTGAGTAGGTCCAAGGTCTACCTCTTTAACCTCACATTCGAAATAACCCAATCCAAACAACCCAAAATTCGAGATGACCCGATCCAAACCCATCTAATTTGACCTTCTGTCAAGTCTATTCTTGCTTTTACTTCTTTGTTTTAAGTGATAATATTTTTTTTAATTAATTAATTAATTAATATTAACTATATATATTTAAGTGATAATTTTTTCTACTAAAACAATGACATGATTTTAATTAATTATTCATTTTACTTTAATAATCCTATTTAATCACTTCTTAAATTTAATTAAATCACCTTATTAATAAATTTTTTTAACATATTCTTCATTTTTCTCATTAATTATTATAAAATAGTTTTTTTAATATCTTGCTCTTAAGACAGAGATTAACAATGTGATAAATATATATATTTTTATCATAAGTTTATATTAAAAAATAAATATTGACCTTCAATTTATCAATTTTCTAACTAAATTTATTCACATGATAATAATACTAAGATTAATGTCAGATTTTATATTTTTTATATAAATTAATGACAAAAAGGTGTTCCTAAAAATGTCTTAACACTTTAAATGATAAGATTTCTTGTAAACTTATTTAAATACCCTTAATAAATACTTTTTTCATGTTGATTCATTAAAAATACTTTAATAAGTTAACACAAAAAAATGTTTATTAAGGCATTGAAACAATTTTACAAGGAGTATTAACATTTAAAGTGTCAAGATATCTTATTTTTATCATAAGGGACACTTTTTTGTCATTAATTTATATAAAAAGTATAAGAGTTAATATTAATTTTAATATCATTATCACAAATGAATTTAATTAGATAATTGATAAATTAAAAATCAATATTTATTATTCTAATACAAATTTATAATAAAAAAATATATTTATGACACTTTTAACATATACTCTAAGAGTAAAAAATTAAAAAAAAAATTTCATAATAATTAATGAGAAAATAAGAAACATATTAAAAAAATTCTTTATTAATTAGGTGATTTAATTAAATTGAAGAAGTTATTTAAGAGGATTATTGAAGTAAAATGTATTATTGATTAAACTAAAAAACATGTCATTATTTTGATTAAAAAAATGTCACTTAAGCATATGTCTATTATATAATATTAATTAATTAATTAATTAAAAAATATATTATCAACAAATGAAAGTAAAGTTAAGAAGGAAACATGTAAAGGCATACAATGCCACACAAGCCATTTAAAAACTGCGTTATAGAACCCAGTTATTGGAGGGGCTAATATGCTTCAATCACAAGGTTGGAGGGCTTATTTGCACTCTTTTTAGTTCAGAGGCTGATCGCCTATTGTTGGAAGTTGAGGGACTTAGGAAGGGTTTTTGCCTTTATTGGATTTTGAAGTCAAGAGTTTTTCCAGTTTTTCTGTTTCTTTGGATTTAGAATCATTCGAGGGACACGCAATCAAGATTTGGAACACTAACACCAAGGTAGAGAACCTATAAATATTCGATAGATCTCAGAGATTTGCGTGAAATTATGCCTTTGGTTTCAAAGTAAGTCTGCTAAATTTAGTGATTTTGGATGGTGGATTAATTTTTTTGGGCTACGTGTTTTTGGTATGGGATTGCCATCCTTGTATCTTTGGTTTTGGTGAACTGAGGCGAGACTATAGTTTCTCTTGGTCATGCACATCAAGTGCTCGATCAAATGCCTGTGTGGGGTTTATGGGTTTTCATGACATACGGGGTTGTGACAGAGCTTTTACAACACAAGTATGGGGTGTTCTGTGAGGGTGAGATGTCACATGCTTTACAATTGGAGGATCTTTGGTATTGTATCAAAATTCAGATTTTTGTTAGCAAGGACAGCAGTAAAGAAGTAGGAAGGGGCAGCATCAGTATGTAAGACTAATTATGCACAACAACAATACCAAGTTCACCCTCCACTTAATGTTTATTGCATTGTTATGTGTTGTTATGTGCTGAAATGGGAGACTACTTGTTCATAAAATGTAGCAGGGGAATGCTCCATCAGATATTGTTCTCTGATATTGGCCTTGACAGTTTTTGTTTTGATGGTTGGGACACTTTGCTTTGTTTTGAGGTGTGAATTTTACTTGTATTATGAATTTAGGCACCTTTTGTACTCATTTAATAAAATTATTGAATTACTAAAAAAAAACATAATAGGCAGGTGTCTTAATGTTTAAGAATTTAAGCTTTCATATTGTATTAGAGGCATTAGGTTTTGTACATTAAAATGGGTGAAGAAGGGGGTTTGTGAAAAAGAACAAAGAGAGTGTTGTCTTAGATAACTATCATCAAACAAACTAGGAAATATTTTAATTATTTTGATACTAATTATCTTTATCCTCAGAGATCGAACCAAGGTTGAATTCCAAGGTCTTGCTCACGGTTGAACCTTTGGCCTAGGCCTAGCTGGAAATTACAGTTCTTAGGGCTCAGCACCCTTGACCTAGGTTGACAATCTACTGGGAATATCTTGGAACGCCAGCGTCAACGAGCCCAGAGTTCGCGAGGCCGTGGGGTGAGCAGCACCTCGCAGGGGCAAACGCGGTTCGACGAGCGGCCGCCTGCAGCGCCTCAATCACGCAGTTCGTCCCATCGAGGGTCCAGCTCGGCTTCTAGGCCGCGGGCTGAGCATAGGGTTGAGGCGGCAGCTCCCAGTGCCCGTAGGCGTGCGCGCGAGGAGACGGAGAGCGAGGAAGATGAGGTCCCCCTTGCTCGGCACTGAATAAGCGGGGGGACTCAGCCTGCGCAGGCGGCCCGTCCCACAACCGTGCGTTCACCCACTGCACCGCCAGCGACTGCGCGAGCAGCAGTAGAGCCCGCCTCTTCCTCGGCTTCAACATCGGGCCCTAGGATCGCTTATCCTGAGGGTTTCAGCTATGTGCGGGCAGAGTGTCAGGCCGCCATGGTGCAAGCCATGCGCAGCTTTGTGCCCCCGTCGGATAGTCGGCGAGCTAAGGCTTTTGTGCAGCAGCATGGCGGCCAGGTCGCCATGATCAAATTGATGGATGTAAGTATTTGCTCGTGCTTGCTTACGTGTTTTATTTTTCCTTACTAGATACTCACTATTGTTGCTGTTTGGCAGGCATTCAGCTACGCTGTAGCGCTTTACAAGAGCGAGCAGGAGGCTCGTACGCAGAACAGCGAGCTCGGTTTAAAATGCAAGCAATTGGCTGCTGAGAAGGCTAGCCTTGTGGACGACGTGAATCGTCTGCAAGGCTCAGAAATGGCGAACCGGGCAGCGGTTGCAGAGAGCCGGGCAAATGAGCTTGCCAACAGAAACAACGAGCTCATGGAGGAATTGGAGCGCGCCCGTGCTGAGAAAGAGAGCGGGATCCAAGCGGCTAGGGAGGAAACCGCCCGGGTTGAAGAACGGGCCAAGAAGGCTGAGGTCGATAGGGACCTTGCTCAGCACGAGCTGAGCTCCCTTAGGCATCAGGTCGCCGAAGCCGACCGGAACCTTACTACTGTCGGGGAGGCACTGAGCGAGCTGAAGACTTCCCATGCACACGTTGTCGGCATCACCCGAGCTCAAGGCGCGGAATGGTTGGTGGGTTCGGCTGCTTTTTAGGACGCCGTGGTAGTGGCGTCTGCAAATGTAACCACGGAAATCTACAACGAGATCCGTGGGAAGGTGCTACGACATCGCCCGGACTTCCCGATTGGCGAGCTGGCGTTCTTTGACGGGGAGGAC